CCCCACCCAGCTCATCAGTTGAGGAAATTGAATGGAGGGGAGTTGGGGGATGGGGCATGACTCCCCTTGACATATGGATTCCTCCACAGGAAGGGCATGTAAATCTTGTCTGATCTCTGGAAATCTGTTGGCTAAACCCCTTAAAATCAGTGGTTCAACATTTATTGACTACCTACTATGTGCTGGGCCAGCCCCAGAGACAAAGCAGCCTCTGCCCACATGGAACTTACTGGCTTGAAAGGGATCCTGATGCCAATCAGATTTTTTTTTAAGTATGCAGAGAAATCAATCATATGTGATTACAAAGCACGCTGTGAAGGAAGAAGTCCACGATGCTGGGAGAGCAGGTATAGGAGCGCCTGACCGCGTCTGGGGAATCATTAGAGATGATGGTAACTTGGGAAATAATTATCTCTAACCTTTATTGGGCGTTTACCTGAGTCAGGCTTCATGTGCTGCTTAACTTCTTTAATTCTCGAAACAACCTCTAAGGCAGGTATTGTTATTTTCTCCTTTTACAGATGAATAAACTGAAACAAAAAGATGTAAATAATTTGCCTGTGGGCCTCTGGTTCCAGGTCTTACTCTATATTCATGACTGTGGAGGCGGGTGTGGTCTAGGAATGGGAGAAACTAAGATTGCTGAAGTGCAAGGTGGAGGGTCTAGATGAAGCTGGGCCACATCGTGTGGGTCTGATTAGGCTATGATGCTCACGTCAAAAATTGTAGTGTTGCTATCCAAGCGAACGTGGGTCTGCTCACCCGCCATGCAGAAAAGCCAGTCCACTGACACCAGGTGGTAGTGAAGGAAAGTACAGCATTTGTTTGCCAGGTGCCGAGCAAGGAGTCTTGTGCCCAGGAGTCCCACAGGGCCCTGCTCCGTATCAGCTGGGCAGGCGCTTGCCCGGGCCTGCGCTGGGAACGCCCGCATTCCTGAGGGGCTGCTATTCCGTTCCCTCAGACACCCTCGCTGTTCTAGGGAATACCCTGTTACCGGCTCTAAATGTCAGCCCACAGCTCCTGGCTCCTCCAAGGCTTGCTTCCAAGAGGACGGATTTGCCAAAAGGCTGGAATAGAGTTCTGGTAAACGGTTTTCCCCCTGCCAAGAGGACAGGCTGCGTTTCTAAAGACAGATATGTGGCACTGTGTGTGGAGAGACGATCTGGGGCGTGAGCCTCTGTGGCTGAATAGAGTGCTGTGGGAACTCTGAAGCCCTGGATTGCTTTCCCTGCCAGTGGTTTTCTGGGGTTGCCAAGTGCACAGGAAGCAGAGAGGGCCCAGCTGTGGGGAACGCAGACTGGAGCCAAACTAGACTGGTTATTGTCTCAGCCACGTGGGAAACGTCCTCCTTGACTCCGATTAAGTCCATCCGAGATGAAGATGACACATCTTTTGTTCAGCGCCGGAGAAAGTCCCCTGTGCTACAGGAGCTGGGGTTGGTGGCTCCTGTTTGTAAAGAGCAAGCTGATCTGATGAGGCATCTGACCCCATAGTTCGATTCCGAATTTTTACGTTCTGTTTAAACTCAGATATATTTATGGAAGGCAGAAAAAATAAAGGCTAAAGAAGTCAGGCTTGCCCTTCTCTTGTTTCCAGGAATCTGCCAGACCCCTTTCTGAAACAGATGTAGGGCCTGGACGAGGTGTTGTGCGCCACCTTGTGGATATAATGGGAACTGCACGTTGCCAGGCTTCTCTGGGCTCAGAGGAGGAGCCACCTTCCCTAACCGTGCCCAGCTGAGGTGAGGGGACTGCCACATCCCCGTCCCCTGAAGTAAAGGCCAGGCTCCAAGTCTGTCCAAGGACCACCACAAAACGGAATGCTACTCTTCAATGCATCAGACCATCTATGGCAGTCACCGCCACCATCTGCCGGCCACCCGTAAGCCTGTGCAAATGGAGATGGGACACGGCCTGCACTGGATCTCAAGTCCGTGCTTTGTAGAAATAAAATTCCAAGGCTTTCTTCTTTATCCAGAGGAAGCAAGACAATGGGAAATTAAGATTGGCCACAGCTATGAATATTTCCTGCTGGTGAAATGTTGGTATTTGCAGCACTTCTGCTCTGTGGTTACTGAGCTAAAGGGGCTGCTTTTGGCTCAGGCGCAAGGCAGGATTGGGTTTTTCATAAACCCAGGTGTACAGCCTAATGTCGTCAGTGAAAAGGGAAGCCCAGACACAGCTTGGGGCACAAAGGTGCAGCCACTGGGCTTGCACCTGCTTTGGTGAGTGCCCTTTGGAAACCAGCTCTTGCAGGCTCTCTGAGAACAGCACGTAGCAGGCTGTGTTGGGCAGTGGAGAGAACATAAGCTCCGGTGTCTCACAGCCCTGCTTTTCAACCCGCCCTCCTTCACATACCAGCTGCGTGACCATGGACGCATGCCTGTGACAACTGGTCTTCTGGTCTACAGTGTGGGGATAATAATAGGAGCTGCCTCGTGGGATTCCTGGAGGATTAAGTGAGATCTAGCCCGGGGCTGGCTCCTGGCTGACTCTCATAACTGGTCCAATGAGGAACCAACACAAACTGAAGTTCTCCGGGCTCTCAGTGAACATCTAATAGGAAGCGCTGGTAGTGGGTGTGCAGAGGGAGGTGATAGAAATAGTAGTGGGTCAAGGGTATCTGTTCTATAGTCTCTGACTCAGAACAGCCCAGATGAGATCCCGCTCTCGCCGGAGGTGAGATGGGAAGTACAGGGCACCCATAGGAGGGGTGCAGTTGCAGAACTGAAACGTGCCAGGTGATCAGAGCCCAGGGCTCATGTTCTGAGTGCCGGGCTCCCACCCTCACACGGCGTGTGTCCGGGAGACCGTGCTGGGATGGGACTCAGCCTCTGGCTCCCCTTTGAGATAAGTGGCTCTTAGGCTCTCCCCAGGGCTCCCCTTTGAGACAGAACTCAGCAGAACCTGGCTGGTCTGTGGTCTGGCTGGGGCGGGAGGTCTGTGTGCCAGTCGGCCACCCCGGTGAATGCGGCTCTTCCTCAAGGCACCCGAGGGGACACAGAACTGAGCAACAAAACCTAAGGATGAAAAAAAAAAAAAACCTAAGGATGGCCTTTTGTCATTTCTATTTTTTATTGAGTATAGTTGATTTACAATGTTGTGTTAATTTCTTGTTATTTCTGCTGATCTTCCACTAAAGAGTCTAAGCTCTGGAGTGTGTGTCTAGGGTTTCTAGAGGTTGCCATTCCCTCATGGGGGAAAGAAATACCCATTTATTGAGTATTATGCGCCAGGCAGTCTGCAAGAGAGTTTTGTTTTGTTTTGTTTTAATTTGGCTGTGCCGGGTCTTAGTTGCGGCATACAGGATCTTCAGTTGTGACATGCGAACATTTAGTTGTGGCACGTGGGATCTAGTTCCTTGACCAGGGATCAAACCCGGGCCCTCTGCATTGGGAGCACGGAGTCTTAGCCACTGGACCACGAGGGAAGTCCCAGCAAGAGAGTTTAAATGTTTAATCCTCTCAAGATTCCTGTGAAATAGGAATTGTTATTTTGCCTTTTTTTTCTTTTACTTTTATTTGCTTTTTTTTTTTTTGCAACATTTATTCCCGGGTAATAAGTTTTTGTTTCTTCAGTTTTTTCTGGGGTATCTTTTTGTTCTGTGCAACCTCCTCTTCTGGTTTAGTAACAGTCTGTTCTTTTTCACGAAGGATCATCTCAATGTGGCAGGGAGCGCTTGTGCTGATCCAACCACAAGCTCTGTAAATCCTGCATTGCATCTTGGGGGCTCTGTTCACTTGAACATGCTCCATGACCAGAGAATCTACATCTAAGCCCTTAAGCTCAGCATTACTCTCTGCATTTTTGAGCGTGTGCAGTAACAATTCAGCACCTTTTGGAGGCCACCGACCCTGCGTCCGGCCCCACTGTTTGGCCTGGGCGCACCTACCAACTCCACGGTTGGAATGATGGAATGTCACACATTGCTTCTGTAAAGTGACATCCTTCAGATACTTGGGGGCTTTTGGCCTGGGCAGTCTCATGAGTGTCCTTAAAGTGAACACGAAGATTTGAACCGCTTGATTTGCACGATTGTATGGGGTTTTCTGGGCCCAGTGAAGAACGGACCCTTTCTAGAGGTCACCGTGAGACACTGGACCTCAGGAGTCGGCACTGCTCACAGCCTGCCTGTGCACCCGCCGTCCCCCCGCCCCACTCTCGCCCGGAGCACCCCTCTGCACGTCACAGAGGCCCGACAGCACCGGAGCACCAAACCGGGGACTCCGACATGTTCCCCCCACACGGAAGGACTCCACCACCAGGAAGGACTCAGTAGACACAAGAGTCCGCCGCCCAAGGGCTTTGAAATTGGCACTGCCAAGCCCAGGATGGCAGCAATAACCCGTTATTATGCCCATTTTACAGATGGGGAAACTGAAGCACGGTGAGGTGAAGTGGCTTGGCTGCTTCACCGGGCCAGTGAGACTGGAGCCAGGGTCAGGATGGAGGCGGGACTGTCTTAGCAGTGTCGCATCTTTGTATGCCACGTAGCACCGGGCACGGTGCCCAGGACTTAGCAAGAGCTTAGCAACCGCTGCTGAGTTGAGAATGGAAAGATTCACGTGCCAAAAGGGCATTCGGAAACAGGGGCAGATGCCCGAGCTGGGCTCTGAAAGACCAGCTGTGTAGAGCAGCAGCTGGCAAATCGTCAGTTCAGAATTCGCAGTCACCTGGCCGGCAGCCTGCAGGCTCCCGGCCGTCCGTGAACAAGGGCCCACTTGATTAACTTTGGATCTTTCATTGCAGGCACTCCACCTTCCAAAGAGGTGCCGGCGGGGCAGTACCCATTCATAGTCACGTCCGATGACGGACGGCAGGTTCCCGTGGTCCAGGCCTATGCTTTTGGCAAATACCTAGGCTATCTGAAGGTCGAGTTTGATGAAAAAGGAAACGTCGTCACTTCCCATGGAAATCCCATCCTTCTCAACAGCAGCATTCTGGAAGGTACGTGAAATTCAGGGCAGTGATCCACCAATGCAAAGATTTGGTGGCTGGATTTTTTTTTTTTTCCTTTTTATTTTTTGGTTAATGTTTCAGGACAATGTTTTTGAAGACCCGAGCTTCTTTCTCCCTTGAGTTTACTCTACCCCCTTCGTGGATAAGGAGATTTAAAACACACACGAATTGCAAAAGTCCCATGTGCTCCTCCAAGCCCTCTCAGCATCAGACACTGTGTCGCTGCCTCTCGTGTCTCTTGCAGCTTCACCCTGGCACAGGAGAGCCACTCTCGGCCCATGTCCAGAGGAGAGCTGATTGTTGGGGCAAAGGGAGCAGTGTACCTGGGCAAGCGGCCCAGTCTCCATGGGCTTCAGGTCATCAAATGCGTGTGTGTCTTTCTTAGTTTTTGATCTGGGAATCAAAACGAAAAGACATTTCATGTCATGCATTTCATACAGTGTACATGAACATCCTCTTGTGCTTCTCTCTCGCCTGCCCTTTCCTGCTTACCGTGATCAGACAGGGAAGGACGGGTGACCAGGGGCCCTGGAGAGCCAGAGCTCCCGACAGCCAGAGGGAGGGGCCGGGACCCTGTAGCCGGACGTCTCAACCCTTTATACCTGCCCTTGGGCCTCTCACTGTCTCCCCACCACTAATGCCCTCCCCGTTGAGCCAGCAGACACTCATTCAGATGTGACGAGTTGATGCTGATTTACTTGGCACGTCTTTAAGATCCAAGCTGGGTCTTACTCCCAGGAAACGGAATAGAGGTTCCTAAGGAAATTTCTCAGTCAAAATCAAAATGTACACAAATACGGTAAAGAACTGTGTACTCACGCCAGGTGAGCTGAATGACGTTTGAGCCTTTCTCCAACATTTAGTCTTTAACTGCAGGCTGATTTGTTTGTTTTCTTCTAGATCCAAGCATAAAAGCAGACATTAACAAATGGAGGATAAAATTAGATAATTACTCGACCCAGGAACTGGGGAAAACAATTGTCTATCTGGATGGTACCACTCAGTCATGCCGCTTTCGAGAATGCAACATGGGCAACCTGATTTGTGATGCTGTGGTGAGTGGTCCACAGGAGAGCAGGGCCCGTGCCTAGGGGGGGAGGATGCAAGGACGGACAACCTGACAGTTACAGAATTGAGGACTTTTAGAAATTAGTCCCCAGACAAAAGCTTGGCGTGTAATCACACTGAGTACCTTGGGAAGGTGCCCGAACCAGACCAGTGGGCCATCCCTTTATTGCTCTACAAGAACGGCAGCCTTGGACTTCCCTGGCGGTCCAGTGGTTAAGATTCCATGCTTCCGCTGCAGGGGGTGCAGGTTCGATCCCTGTTCAGGTGAGTTCTGCATGCTGCGCAGTGCCGCCAAAAAAAAAAGGACAGAAGCCTTTATTTCAAGGTGCTCATCTTAGGTGTCTGAATATTGGATGTTGCTTTCCTTTGGTAAGATGACCTGAATCCACAAACTCTGCTCCTCCCAAGAAGTAGACGTAGAATTAAATGCATCTGCCTGGGCCTATCTAGGCCAGAGTGTGTTTCACTGATCTGTCCTCTTGACCCCAGAGAACTCGGCCTTGTGTGAACCACCTTCACAAGCAAGGCCGTTATCACAAGAATAATAAGTCCCAGAGCAAGTTCCCACACCAAAAACACCCCTCTGTCCACCTGTCTGTGGGCAGCCCCCCCGGGAGGGCCGCCGTGCCCAGCCGAGGTCTCCAGCTGAGACTCACCACGCCCAGGGGCACCCAGGAGGCCGTTCCTTTGTCTGGGCTCAGCTCGGTGCTGGGTGCCCGGTACCTGGGATGCAGCCACACTCAATAAGTGTCTGCCAAGTAAATGACAACACTCACGCTTTCCAAGGTGGGACAAGTGCTGGAAGCTCAGCATCGCACGGTCAGTGCGAGACAAGCAGCTAACGAGAAGCCAGAGCTGTGAATGTGCAGAGGCAGGTCTGGAAGGAAACAACCCAGGCTCTAGCAGGGCTTACCTAACAAAGAGAGAATGAGCCCCTTCTCCCGCTAAGCATCAGGAACACTGCAGCTGTGCTGCCCTCAGCCGCCCTGTGGCCCTGTGTCTCCCTCACCTCTTCCACCATCATATGTTTTCAAATGAGAATGTAATTCGTTTTATTTCTTGTAACTAAACATATGTTTTGTAAAAGAAAAGGAAGAATGAAACTGACTCTCCCCCATTTCAGGGGCTCCCCCGTCTCTCTCTTGTATCCAAAATTGCCAACTTGGGAACTGGCTGGGGACCTAGACATGGATGCCAGGGTCCTTTGTGGCCTGAGATCTGGAGTTGAAAGGCTTGTGGGCTCCACCCTTAGGAGCAAATGTGGGTCCTGCCCTGGAGGAGCCCCGGGGGGAGCAGCCCTGTGGGTCAGTCTGCACAGAAGCCCCTTTCTCCTACTTCAAGTGCTGGCTTTGCTAAGGGCCCCTGGCCTGGCGGGTTGCAGGCGTCTTAGGAGAGGGGCTCAGAGCTACTGGCTACTCAAGAGTCTGACCTGGGACTGGTCACAGTATCTGAGGTTTGCTTCTCAGGGCATAAGACTAGTTCTGATGAATTACACTTGAGAAAGCTCTGGGCACACACAGGAGCAGGGCAACAGCAGCTTTATTTGCTCGGTGCAGCTAACCAAGTTCCGGGCACTGACCCTAAGGAGGAGGACCCAGAATAACGAGTGTAAATTCATGCTGCTGTTGCAGATTAACAACAACCTGAGACACCCGGATGAGATGTCCTGGAACCATGTGTCCATGTGCATTTTAAACGGAGGCAGCATCCGGTCACCCATTGACGAGCGGAACAACGGTATGCTCCCGGCTCCCGGCCCCCGGCCTCAGCTCAGCGTGCTGTCTGACCAGTCCCCCAAGACCCCCCCCACCGTGCCAGGCCCTTCGGCCATTCGAGTCAGTGCCCCACCTGAAGGGCGCACACAGGCTTGTGTGTTCTTGGATGCATTTGCTCACAGAGGGAGCAGCCAGCCTTACTGGCACCAAGGTTTAGCTCAACTTCTGATTCACACAGCAAAACGCAAATGGTGGCTGATATATGCAAAATAGTGATGGCCTCCCCCTGGATATCTGGAAAGAGGAGGACAAAATTGCCCATCTTGGGACGTCCCTGGCGGTCCAGTGGTTAGGACTTTGCGCTTCCCCTGCAGGGGGCACGGGTTCCATCCCTGGTCGAGGAACTAAGAGCCCACATGCCATGCGGCATGGCCAAAAAAAGAAAAAAAAAAAAATTGCCCATCTTAGGTGCTGGGAAAAAAGAGCTGGGTAAGTTCCTCTAGTGCATTTACAGGTATCCAGGATTATAGCATATGGTAAAACAAACCAACCAGACAGATATTCAAGACACTGTTGTAGTCTTCCCTTATAACGGTGTCAAAAAGTGTCAGCCTCAGTGGTGGAGGGCACGGCCAGAGGCCCCTTGATTCCATCCTCCCCCTAAGTGTCAGGAACACTTAGACGCAGCTGTGCTGTCCTCAGAGCCTCCCTGTGCCCCGTGTCTCCTTAACCTGCTCCGCCAGTCCTAAAGGACACTGGCCATGGGGTGTGCTAGTTCTCCAGCTGTTTTCCTCCTCGCCTCCTCTGTGACTACCCACAGGCACAATTACCTGGGAGAACCTGGCTGCTGTGTTGCCCTTTGGAGGCACCTTTGACCTGGTCCAATTAAAAGGCTCCACCCTGAAGAAGGCCTTCGAGCACAGCGTGTACCGCTACGGCCAGTCCACAGGGGAGTTCCTGCAGGTGGGCGGTAAGTCACCTTGCAAGGTGGGGTGGGCTTTCCTGCTGGTTGGCTTAGCTCCCCCCTTAGCAGAACCTCTTGGTCAGGCCTGTTAGGGTTTTCACACACCCAACACCAACGCATAGTCTTTGAATGGCCAGACCACTGGAGTAGGTCGGGGTCAAAGCCCCAAGACCCCGAAAATGAGCACCATTTGCCAAGTCTGATTTGGACATCGGATGGTCTCGGCAGGAGCTGGCCCCCCAAACTCTAAGCAGGTCAGCTGCCTTGAGGTCTAGTTTCTATTAAAATCTTAGTTGCTTCAACATTCAATATTCTTCGTAAAAAAACAGAAAAGGATTTTTTTTTGTCTGTTTTTTCTGTGAGTGCCTGGAACCATACAGAAGTTCAAAGGAATGCAGTGTCCAATAAGTATTAACAAGGATGATTTCTGGGTGGGGCAGTCTGGACAAAACATAGGAACTTGGCTCTGGTTCCAGCGGGACCTGGGGCAAGCCCTCAGCCTCTAGGAGCACGGTGAGAAAATGGGCCTGCTTATCTCATGGATTGCAGTGAAAACGGAAGGAAAACAAATGCTTCCCAAATTGTCACGGACTTCTGAAATGCTTTCGTCAATAATTAAGTCCACAGTCCAATGAATTCAACTTTAAATTAATATGAATGATCTTGTTTGATTCTGACTCCACATTCTGGCCTGAGTTTCCGGCCTGTAGATAGCAGGCCGCACCTGAGGGCTGTGATTGTTTTGTGAAGTCTTCCCTCTGCAGGGCACTCCGCTGCTGGGATCGAGGGGCTGCAGAGTGTGGTGGGGTCCAGGCTGCTGCCTGTGGGGTAGCCCAGATATTCTGCGTTTTCCAGGACAGAGTGGAGGGAACACCGGGGCTCTGGTGCCCCAGCACAGTGCTGGGTAGTCGTATGTTTTGTGAAAGTCACCCAAGCCCAAATTATTAACATCTCTTAGTCATCAAGATGGTGCAAGGTTCTGTGCCTGTCATCTGTTCCTCATTTTCCAGAGCCACTGAACCAAGTTGCTGGACCAATTAACTCAGGATTTTAAAAAGGTCTGTTTTCTCCCTGCAGAGTCACCTCTCGCCCACTCTGGGCCAGAGCCAGTTTTCCTCCCAGGGGTTCTCAGACCTCCCAGAAGGACTCAAGGACAAACCTAACCAGATAGGGTAGCTGCAATGTCACCTCAGCTCTCTTGCTGAAATTTCACTCAAGCTCAAACTAAATGAAAACTAAGCCCAGTGCCCCAATTCCAGATTTGGCCCTTTCCTAGAAAACAGAAATTTCCCTTTGGATCCAGTGAAAACATACAGGCTCATTTCTTTTCTAGGAATTCACGTGGTGTACGATCTTTCCCGAAACCCCGGGGAAAGAGTGGTCAAATTAGAGGTCCTTTGCACCCAGTGTCGCGTGCCCAGTTACGAGCCTCTCAGAATGGATGAGGTGTACAAGGTGATCCTCCCGAACTTCCTTGCCAAGGGTGGGGATGGATTCCGGATGATAAAAGACGAAGTGTTAAAACATGACTCTGGTAAGCACAAGTGTCTCACCCCTCCCTAGCCCAGAGGTACCCGAGAACAGAACTGGTCCCAAGAGGGGAGCTACGCATAATGCTCGGAGGGCAAAGCCAGAAATCCAGATGCGTCCCCACATTGCTGACCACTTCCTGCTTTGTTTGTTGGGAAACAGCAGCACGGCCTGAGGGAATATTGCCCTGCCTCTCCCCAGCACACGTACCCATCCACCCAAGCCCAGGGAAAAATATTTTTACATGTGTTTTGAAACTCTTTTAAGTACATATAACCAGCTATTTAAATTGTGAAATATCAATCAGTGTGGCACTTATAGAAAAACCAGACTTCTAGAACTTTAGGCTGGATGTGGGAAACTATATTAAATCATCTAAACTTTCTTGAAGAAGCTTTTAGTGTAAACAGGTCAGGTAGGCGTGGATGGGATATGTCCCCTGCCCCGTTCTGCACAGTGGGTTGGAGCAAATTATAGGAACCACCACACTTGACCCCAGGTGATATTTCCAGCAGCAGTGAGGGTCATGATACCACCTGCTCATTTTTTAAAATCCAACTGAGAACCACCTCCTATGCATAGAGTCCACTGCCAGTACACTACCCCTTCCTGTTCTCCAGGGCAGAAACTAGTGTGTTTACAAGACACGTGCACAGCTTCCCTGCATCTGTC